ATTACATATAATACAATATACGTAATATCTATTTCATTATATACAATATATTAGATATTGTAATATTACTGTATATAATTTTGTATACAAAAATTGTATACAAATAATATTGTATATATATTGTAATGTATGTAAATATTTATACACACACACACACATACATTTTGCCTAAAAGCAGGCCCTTCAAAGTTACCAGTAGTTTACCAAATAACCAAAAATTTAAAAAATTTTACCTATTGAATTAGTAAGGGTTTTCCAAAATGATACCATGCTGGTACAAATAAGATATGCTATTCAAATATACAAGCAAAAGCTACTCACAAATATGAACTTCATATAAACACTACAGTATTGGAAATCACAAAAAAAAAAATCCAGAAAGAACAGTCAAATAAATTGACTTCCACAACATTAATTAACTTGTGTGTGTGTAACTACGATCTTCCAGAACCAGAGAGCCAATACAGGGGTTCAGGTGCTTGCTCTGTGTGCTGCCAACCCTGGTTTAATCCCCAGCATCACATTTGGTCCCCAGAGCACCTCCAGTAGTGGCCTACCCTTAACCCCCAAAGTATGATCTTCTACATATGATTCCAATTACTTTAAAAATAACCTATCAAAGCATGCGTATTTTGTTATATTATATAAATGGTCATATTATACATACTTACTACCTGTAAATTAAATAATAATCCCTTATGTGTTGGGATAATTTAAGTGACTATTTTGAGCACACGCTCAAAATTTAAACACTGTATTATATTTACGCTTGCAAGCATCTTAGGAGAATTATATTTATGATATCAGTCTGTCTGCCTTCCCTTTCTCTCCCTCCCTCCCTCCCTCCCTCCCTCCTTCCCTCCCTCCCTCCCTCCCTTCCCTTCCCTCCCTCCCTCCCTCCCTTCCTTCCTTTCACCAACCCAGAGGTGCTCAGGGGTTATCCCTAGCTCTGAGCTCAGGAATGATCTCTGGGCTGCTTCAGAAACCACACATAGCGCCTGGGATTCAAACCAGGGTCTTATCCAAAGCAGTCAAACACAGGTCAAGTATTCTACCTCCTGTACTATCTCTACAGTACCCAAGAGGGGATTCTTCACATACAATTAATTCCTGAGGAATCTGAAGTTTATACTGGGTAAGTCACTTGATTGTGACAATAACAGAATAACTAGCTTCTAGAACTTATTCCTTCCAAGGCTGCGGAGAACAATGAACATATAGGACCATGACTGCAGTTCTGAGGATCTTGAACTAATGGATTTGGCAAAAACTTTGAGTACTCATTTAGAAAACATAATTCCAAATCTCAGAAGAGGTTAGTGAGTGCTTGAAACTGAATTCACTTGAAAAATACTTATTGGACACCTGCCTTTTGACAGATACTGCACCAGATGTGGTACAAAATCAGGAATAGTAGTGGAAGAGACTTTCTTCAAATATTAGGAAAATCTTGGGAAGAGCAATGGGGATGGCAAGAAAAGTGGGCAGGGAGAGCGAGTGTCTATCAATTCAATATTCATAGTCCTGGGTACATAGATCTCAGAATTATTTTGCTGCTTCTTTTAATTTTTTTTGAGGGGGGTGGTATTGGGTCAAACCTAGTGATGTTCTGAGATTATTCCTGGCTCTGTGCTCGGGAATCATCGTTGGCAGTGCTTGGCAGATCGTATGGGATGGTGGGGATTGAACCATGTAAAAGGCAAATGCCCTATCTGCTTTACTACAGCTCTGGACCTGCACTTCAGTTTTCATTCAGAGTAGATGTATTTACCATTGTTGTACAGTAACTCACACACTTTGGGAATACCGCTTTATACCTCCATGTGTGTAAGCCTTGACACAACTACCACCAAAAACTAGTATTAGGATCTAATTCTGATCTTTGACTTTTTTTTTCAAACTTTCAATAAAAACATATGTGGGCCAGAGAGATAGCACAACTAGTACTATGTTTGCCTGGCACATGGCACACCTGGAGTAGATCCTTGGCACCACATATGGCCCTTGAGTATGATCAGAAATGATCCCTGAGCACAGAGTCAGGAGCAATGCACTGAGCATATTAACTGGTGAGCTCAGGGGGCCTGCGGCCCCACCTGGGGCTTCTTGGTCACTGATGCGGTTCAATGCAAGGACAGAATAATGTTTTGTCACTTGTGTTCCTGAAGTGCCTGGGAGACACAGGCCACCCTGTTGGTGTTGCAGGGGGCAAGGCAGGATAAGGGGGTAATCAAATTTTTGAGGATCTCACAAAATTTTAAGTCTGTTTAATGAATTTACACTTAAATATAACAGATATAACCATGAACCATAGGTAAGTGAATATATATTGTTCCCCTATAAAACTTTTTCTATGAAGTCCCATATTCTAGAATAGGGCTAGATTACTACAAACACATATAATATTAATAATGTTAATAATTTCCCATGCAAACGTGTATTAAGTCTATGGGAATTATGACATAGACTTTCAACAACATAAATTCATGTAAATTCAACACTGTGGAAAGATTCCATAAAAGCAAAGATAATTATTTAAGAAGGAACAATTAAGGTCAGGTACAGAACTTGCCCCGTACCCAGCTGACCAGGGTTCTCCCTGCATGGTATATGGTCCCCTGAGTAAGGCCAGGAGTGATTCCTGAGCAAAGATCCAATAGAAAGCAGAGAGGAAGGGAAAGGGAGGGGAGGGGGGGAGGGAGGGAGGGAAGGAAGGAAGGAAGGAAGGAAGGAAGGAAGGAAGGAAGGAAGGGAGGGAGGGAGGGAGGGAGGGAGGGAGATGTTTTGGGGACCGAAAATAACCTCTTCTTGTTCTCCTTCATGGGAATTAAAGGACAAGGAAGGGTTAAGGAACAAAAATCAAGTTTGTTGTGTAAACTAGGCAGTTCTCTTTATCTCTGACAGCAAGTTGATGAGGATGAATGATAATGTTTTAGACATCAGGTATCTGGAGATGAGCCTTAAGGATACCATGTATCCCTTTTGTAATAATACACAGTTGTGTCTCATCTCCAAAAATCATCAGTGAACAACTTTTCCCTTATTTATCTACATGCAGTTTTAAGCAATACAAAAATAGTGACTCAATGTACTCTCCCACCAGTGTGCCAATGGCTGTTTTACTTCATGCTATCAGAAGAAACAGCTTAATTATAAGGAGGAAGTGAAACCCCTCATTGTTTTGAATTATGAGTACAAGTCCTATGCAACCATGTATATTTCATGCCCTGTTACTGTTGCTACTACAGAAGACTTTAAAAAACAAGTACCATTTACTTGGACTGTTAGAGTGTTTGCAAAATTCTTCAAAGCTCATGCTGTCCACAGCTACGAAACCAGGCGAAAAACATCATTTTCATTTGCCATTACTCCAATTAAAGGATTCTCAGAAAGACTCATCGCGAGGAAAATCAGATGTAAGGACGCCGGAAATGCAGATGACAACCCACAGCCAACCATGCCCCAACTCCCCGGGACCCAAACTCTGAGATCTCTTTCTCCCTCGGATAGGGGGTAACCACCCCAAGACGGAAATGATCTCTTGGTAAAACAATTAAGAAAAAAAGACAAAAAAAGAGAGAGAGAGAGAGAGAGGCTAGCTTGCAAACTTCTCGGGACCAACGTTCCAGGGGTTCATTTCTCTAGAAGGAAGTCTTGGACAAAAGAGTCTGAGAGGTGAGAAAACTCTGCCAGGGGCCAAGTGAGTCCGGCTACAGCAAAACCTGCACACAGTTCCAGGTGTCCCGGGGGTGGGCGCGGGGACTCCCGGTTTCCTGAGCATCTTCTTGGCCCCGCACCCCGGGCGGGCGCTCTGCCTGCCAGCCGGAGCCGGCGCGGGTGCCCCGGGACGCGCCACCAGCAATCCCCGCTCGCTCGCGGGGCGCATCGCCCGGCTCGGTCCCTCGGCCAGCAGCCACCAGCAGACCTCCGACATCTGTCACCGAGGTGAGCCCCGGGGAGCGGGCGCGGCGGGGAGGAAACGGCCGAGCGGGTGCACCCAAGCCTTTGCCGCAGCGCTGGGAGCCCGCGAGGAGGAGGAGGCTGGCGAGGGGGCGGCTAGTCAACCGCGATCCCGTCCCGGCGAGCCGGGAAAGCATCATCCTCGCCCACTGCTGGGAAGTCTCGGATACACCCACCCGGGATGCGCTCCGCGCTCGGGGCTGGGGTGGGGTGAGGGGGGCGGTGAAGGGGGGCGTTCCTGGTCCTCGCCTCCCACCCCCACGCCGTCCGGGTCTGTGAGCCTGGCATACAACCACCCTCTTTCCTCTGAGTAAGGGAAATGAACAAAAGAGACCCCCCAACCCCTACACACACACACACACACACACACACACACACACACACACACCTCTTTCCCGATGCTCCAGGTATTTGTCTGCGATTTCCCCGAACACCTTCCTTACCTGAAAACAGTGCATTTTTTTTTTCCGCCAGCCCAAGGCAAAGGGGGCTCGGACCCACCCCCCGAGGTGATCAGTCGACTGGACCCTGTTCGTTTCGCCTCTGATCTTCCAACCACCACAACCTACACACCCCGCCTTACCCCCCTCCCAAAAAAAAAAAAATACCGCAGGACCTCGCGCCCCCGCGGTGTCGCCCGCCTCCCCCCTGCCCTGTCCGCGGGATCCCCGGCGGAGGTCCCCAGCTTCTCTCCCCCCCTCTCCGGGGGACCCCCGATCTGAGGCTCCCGGGGCGGGCAGGACAGTCGCGCGGCACCCCCGAGGGCGGCGAGTGGACGGTCCGAGGCGGAGACGCGGGATCCAGCGGGATCCAACTTCGCGGGGCGCTCGGAGACCCCCCGCGCCCGGGCACTGCAGCGGCACCGCCCGACCCCCGCGCTTCCTGCCCTCGCCCTCCGGCCCCGGCTCCCCACGCCTTCAATGAAAATAATAATCAAATATCTATTTTTTTTTCATCCCTGGGTGCCAAGCAGACATTTTGAAGTCAAACCCCCCACCCCCCGCACCCCCCCGGCCCCGCCGGGCGCGGCAGCATCTTACCGGGGAGGGGTGGGGGCGGGAGGCGCGGGCGGCGGCGCGCGGGGTCCGGGGGGGCGCGAGGCGGGGCGGCTCTGGGTTCCTCTAGCCCAGCGGGTTCGCTGCCATCCGCCCAACTTCAGCACCCGGCGGCCGAGGAGAGAGGGAGCGAGGCAGGGCTGAGGAGGGGAGGAGGGAGGGGAGGAGGGCGGGGTGCGAGCTCGCCGCTGCGCGCATGCGCTCCGCCGGCCCGCGCCACCCCGCGCGCGCGCGCGCCCCGGCTGGAGGTGCCGCCGCTTCCCCGGGGCGCGCGCGGCGGCCGCGTGGATCGGCCGCGCGCCCCGCCCCGGCCGCCCGGCCCCCCGCGCGCTCCCCCGGCTCCGACTTCGGGGCGCCCCCACCCCGAGATCCCAGAGCCTGGAGGCACCGGGCGAGGCTCGCCCCGCGGCGCCCGGGCAACGGGAACTTCCCGATCCGGCCGCTGCCCGGCTGCTGGGAAGCCCGAGCTGGCCCCGGGCACTAACTACACCGGGACCCCCCACCCCCTGCGGGGGACGGTCCAGAGCGTGTGAAGTTGTGCAAGTTCTACTCGGACCCCGGGACTCGGCCCGGGAAAGGCGATCTGACTTGCTGAACGTTCCCCACCCCCTCCCACCCCGTAGACTTCTGACCCTTTTCCCCCCAAGCGTGTTCGGGCTGGAGCATCTGCGGGGTCTCCCCCCGGAGAGTCTGCCCAGGCGAAAAGCTGCGGAGGGGGTGGGAATGGGGACCACTGGGGTGTGAGGGTGCTGGGCCAGGGCGGGGGCGGGGATGGGGGGCTGCGGAGGCTGCAGCCCCGTTTGGGGAGCCGCCCAGAAGCGATCAGGTCGGGTAATTGCTCCATTCAGCAGCAGAGCCCTGCGAGGCGGAGGAGCTTCGGATACTTAATGCATCCTGAGAGCTAGATTGTATCTCCCAGGGATGATTCAGTTGAAGTGTTTGTGAGGGTGAATTAGGGAAGCGGGTGTCTTTTTCTTCAGATGTGACATATCTGTGGGAAGACGAGCTAGTTCCTGGCAGGCATGATTAAGCTTTTTTTTTTCCCTACCGTTAGAAAAAAAAAAGGTTTCTTGTATATATATATATGGTTTACTTCTAAGGGGGGAGGGTAAGAGGAAGGACTTCCCGTAGCTTCTCAGACAGTCAAACGTTTTTTCATCATTAGTTCACAGTCTCTTCCACCGAACACCCTCCTGGTCTGGCCGCCCTGTCCCCATCTGTACTTAAGGTAATGTGTCTCCAGGGTTTGTGGTAGGACTGATTTTTCTCTAGCCACATCGTGATTGAAGACCTTTATCTTCAAAGTGCTTTCCCGGGAATGGTGTCAGTCTGGAAAATTGTTTATTGGTCTGTAATGAAAGATAAGCCCAGAAGTTAAGAGTTCTCAACTTACTGTAATTTGATATTACCTTGACATCCGAACACATTCCTCAGTTGTATTTTATGCTCTATTTTATTTGTCACTTGTTGGTGTTGGATGTTACAAAAGCATTAGTGCATGATGCATTGAAGACAAGTAAACTCGCTAAAAGTGGTTTGAATGCATTGAATTCTACTTTACACACACACACACACACACACACACACACACACACACACACACCTTACAGGAGTTCTTATATGTGCCCAACTACCTTTATATCTTGAAGAATGATTATAATAGTTGATGAGGATTGAGCAATTACTGTGAGCAGCTATTGAACTGTATTTTTGTATACATATCTTATTTTTCTGTACAAGGTAAATACTATTATATTTAACAGGCAACCCAGAAATCCATGGATCCACCCCCTCTAAACCTGTTCCTCTTCAGATTGTTCCACCCAATTAGTCAAGCCAAAACTTTAGAAGGCGTTCTCATTTTGTCTTCCTTTTACACTACATAAATATATTTACCTTCAAAATATATTTCTAATTCACCCACTCTCTTCCTTTTCAGAGCTTTGACTTTGGTTTCTAGAGTCCAGCTCTCACCTGAACTGCTACCACAGAAGTTCTCTCTCCATTTACGGAGCTGAAGGATATAATACAGTGGGTTGGGTGCTTGCCTTGCACCCAGCTAATGTGGTTTGGATTCCGGGTACCCGATATTGTCCTTTAAGCCCACCAGGAGTGACTCTTGACTACATAGTCAGGACTAAGCCATGAGCTCCTTCTTATATAGCCCCAAACAAGAAAAAAAAAACAACAAATAAAAAAAAATAACCAAACCCACAGAAAGCTTGCCATGTTCTCTCTACGCTCAATCCCCAAACAACCCATTCTCCAAACAGCAGCTGTGTGATCTTTTAAAAACAAAACTAAATCATGACTTCCTTCTGCTTAAAATTCTCCAATGAGTTCAGTGCATTTTAAATCAAACCCTTAGTGCTTATCATAATCTAGAAAGTTCTGTGTAATCTTTCCCAGTGTATTCTCATTGGTGGAATAGACAGTTTACTGTGCTGTAACCAAAATGGGTTTTTTTTTCCCCCTGAAGTAAATCTAGCTGGCAATCCTTGCTAGCTCTGTCTGGAATCCTCTTCCCCAAGTCATTAAATAGAAACTTCAATACCATTCATTCAGATTTCTGCTCAGAAACTACCTACTTAGCTAGATTCCTATCTAACCACTCAGTCTTGTCTGCTCCCACGATGCTCTCTCCAATTCGCTGCTACCATTTTATTTAGCACTTTTTACAGTCTGAATCAACCTGGAATTATTCTTATTTCTTCATGCACCCCACAGCCTAAATTATCTCAAGAGTTTTGCTTGCACTTACACTGTTTTATCTCTAGTGCCCAGAACAAATTTGGCACAAAGAATCGCCTCAGTACTTAGTGAATGAATGCATGATTCAATGAATCTATCACCCTCTGGAATGAGTATCTTGGATTTTTTTTCTGTATTCTTCTTTTTGAATCTGATCCATCACCTGTGAAAAATCTCATTTTCCAATAGAGCACATAACTTTCTCTGCCCACCTTGCCAAAGACAGTCATGTATGCAAAGGCACACATTTAATCCTAGAAGCCAGTATAGTGTTCTCAGAACCAACGTGAAAACAAGCAATAAGGGCTGGAGAGTTAGTCTACGAGTTAAGGCACTTGGTTTGCATGTAGTCCACCGAGTTTAACCCAAGTGCCAATTGGTCCCTAGAATACAAACAGGAGTGACCACTGAACATAAATTCAGAAATAGCACCCAAACAACACTGGGTATCACCAAACTCCCATAGACCAAAAACAAACAAAAAGCAAACATACCCATCAAAAGTTCCTCACTTCCTTAAACTATCTTTCAGTGTGATTTTAACTGTTTAGATAGTCTTTCTACCTACAATTTAGCTGTTTGGTTCTGTTCCTTTTACTTAAGCCAGATGTAATCTCCTGGTGACTTTCTTTGTGGATCCTAATTTTTTGTGTGGGTTCAAATGTAAGTAGCGTTCAGTGGCTCAGTGGCTGAGAACCACTTCCCCAGACTGACTGACAGCAATGGACAAATGAAGGAATGTGGCCACAGGCTGCTTAGTAATCACTGACCCCTTTATTCAAGCCTCACAGCATTGTTATGTAGAAAATGTGAAGGGCCCCATAGACATATGTGTGGTTGGATATTATCAGAACAATGAACAGATGTAAAGTCCTTCCTTCAGGGGAAGTTCTAGGAGATTAACTCAAGGACAAAATTTCATCTGGGAGTTTATCACTTACTCAATTACTCAGAGGTCCACTAAAGGGCAGGATTTCCTCTGAGGGTGTATTGCTTTCTCCTTTCCTGAGCTAGTAATCCATTTATTTCTAGTCATTTTGTGTGAACACAGTAAGAGATACATTAAGCTTAAATGGTCACTTATCTCCCTATATATTCCAGACTACAACCCTCAGGCCAGATTGGTCTTTCCTAACCCCAGCAGGGTCCTTATTCAGTTATTTTTTTTTTGAATCATGACAGAGTTTGTTCCAGGACCATGCTCTCATCTTATTCTATTTCTGATGGAGCTTAACCTGTTCGTTTTCCATGCCAGGGTAGTTTAAGGCTTGACCAGGGTCTATCCTTGTCCCTCCGAGGGACCCCCATATGTGGGTGTTAGGAACTAAAGGCAACTGAGGCTTAAGTCAAGTAAATACGATGGATGGCCAGGAGTAAATATTATTCAGAGTCAATTAACTCCCATGTTACAAAAGCATAGCATTAACTGTCTTCCTGTGTCTATACAAAAAAGGACATTGCTAAACCATGCAAAGGCATAAAGGAAAGAGAAAAGCAACATTTTACTTGTACAAAATCCAAAACCCTCAGAAGAATTTAAATTTACAAGATACAGATTCTGATTTGGGAATGTAAGTGATTAATAGAGAGAGGAAGAAGAGCACAAAGGAGAGTATAAAGATATACACAGAGGATTAGGAATGCCTGGTGGAATTGGGTGTGCCTTGGGAGCACTATGATGGGTGTAACTCAGTAAACCTAAACTCCCTGCAGGGGCAGCATGGAAAAACCAATGTTACCCAAAAGTTGTATATCTTTTATGAATCACCAAGAAATCATTTTCACGACAGTGTACCATATACTAGACATATTGCTTGTGGTATGGGTGTTGAACCATTGAGTGGAACTGACCACAGCTTTAAGATTCTTCTCCTCACAGACTTTGATTGCTCAGTTTCTGCACATCCGAATCTCAGAGATTATCTACAACACTATTGCTATCAAATGACTAGCCAATAATGGGCAGTGAGTCAACATGGTAAATTTTATGAATGCCTACTCAAGGCCCGGCATTGTCTTCAAGATCTTTTTTTCTTTTTGCAAGAAGTGTAAATGTGACGTAAAATTATTGTGTATAATTCAGAAATGGATCTTAGTTCATTTTGATCATGGGGATGCCTTCTCTTTATGTGGAATTTCAGAGCTCATGGGACATACCATCACTATCATCACTAAACAGCTGTGTGGCAACTATGAAAAGCAACATTTAATCATGATCATTTCCCTGCCATTATGAATATGATTTTCAAGTCAAGAGAATCTGGATACAGCAGCAGCTTTCAGCATAGAGCCATCATAGGAAGGCAGACGCAAGATCTGCTGACAGATATTTGCAGACAGAAGATAATGGAAAAGAATAACTCATCAAAAATATTTACAGTACATTTA